ATATAACACCAACAATCCACAAAAAAAAAACTGAAATCAAAGAAGAGTTGGGAATAATGCTTCTACAGAATATTTCCAATTTATATAATAATCAATTGTTTGATACATACTGGGGATAATCATCTTATTATATATATTAAAGTGTAAAATTATATTTCCAATTTATATAATAATCAATTGTTTTGATGCATGCGATCCGATCCGAGTAGACAATCCGGTAACTGGTGATTTAAACATCACTTGAACTTTTAACTTTTGCACACCAAATATTTTAATTGAGAATGTAGCATAGATTTAGGATGGTACGTGGTCTTATGGATACACGTTTTTATGGAAGAAATAACTAACCTTCTCATGAACAGTGATGAAAACTTTTTTTTTTTTTCAGTGATGAAAACTTCTATTTGTAAGAAAGAGAGTTGAATATCATGTAAATCCACCTTTATGGAGATTAATGTGGGAAGAACCACTAAGAAGCTTTTGGAGCATATAACCTAAAGAAACCAATCGGACCCCTCCTAAGAAATCAAAGCTATCTCTTTTCGAATTGGTTTACACCGAAGAAAAGCTTTGGCCATGAATGGTTATCAGTTTTTAATTAGTTTTTAGATTATAGATTTTGGTTTTTGGATTTTAGATTTTTGTTTTTGGTTTTTAGATTTTGCAAAAATAAAAGAAATAAAAAATAAAAAAAATGATAAAAAATGTTACGTTAAGAATTTGTTTAGAAAAGGTGAAAAACTCAAATAAGGTGGATTTTGGATTGTCTTTGAAAATTGTCAAAATCTTGCAAAAACTAGATTCCCTATTATTTAGGAAAACCATTTTCACAAAATCTTGAATGAGTGAAAAATAAGATTTTCAAAAACAAAAACCAAAAACCATTACAAAAACTAGTAAACATTCAAGGCCTTTGTCTAACTTCAATAAAGCTATGGAACAACAAGTCGGAGTAAAAATTTCCTTTGTGAAGTGTTTCGAGTCAATAGTCTCAATTCTTAGAATGTTGGAGACAATTTTTTACATATAAGAATTGGGTTTCTAGAAACATATTTTTAATACTTATAAGAATTTTGTTTCTAGAAACAAATTTTTAACACATGTAACTGGAATTTAGGTTCTAGATCCGGTGGAGGCGAATCCAGATCTGAATACCCTGAAAACCCTCAGATATCGAGATGTTAGTTCAAGTCTACTACAAGAAACATATCAAAAATGATATATATATATATATATATATATATATATATATATATATATATATGAGATAAGTATTTTAAAATATTTGAAGATCTCAAGGTATAAAGTGGAAAAAACTTTTAAAACTATATTTAGGAGATGTTATTCAATCATGGATTTTAATATTGAAATCCAACCTTAGTCTCCCTTTATTCAATTAATGTCTAAATCATGCTTTAAAATCTTGTTTTATTGGATTTTATATTTGTAAATTATGCTTAATAAATTTTAAAGTTTGGTGATATTCAATTAAAATTTAAATAAATCATTAAAATTCAGTGTTGTTCAAACAGAAAACTTTTAAAATCTTTGTATATTAAGTCATTTGAAATGAAATCTCTTTGGAGTTTTATAAGTAAATTACTGCAGAGATTTTGAAATATATACAAATAATTTTTAAAATAATATCAATTTTTAATTGTAATCCTTAACGAATTGACTTAAACTCCATAATTGAATAACGCCTATTTATAATAATATCAAATTTCAAATCTTAATGATTGTAAAACTTAGAAAATCCTCTATATATTAAAAGAGAGTTTTCAATGCATTTGTGGCATGTCCACATTTTTTCTTAGCTATTTTAGTTTTATTTATTTAATTCTATTATGACATTTGCGAAATATTTTTTTTATCCTCATTCTATTTAAACCACTTACCAAACACACATAAACTGTATTCAAATATATAGAGTTACCAAATTTTGATATTTTTTATCTTCCCCTATTATTACAAAATTAACTATTTTGATTTTCTTATTTATTAAATGCTTAGATTTTTTTATACACACTAAATTAGAATATAAGTCATTCAATTTTATATGACCTAAAATTTAACAAAATATGATACTAAAAACGACAATGTAATTACTTTAGAAACAATCTATTTTATTTTTTCTTAAAATTTTAATGAATTAAATGTTTCACAACTAACATCAACATTTAATTCTGAAAAATTTCAACCAAAATAAAATATCTTAGTAAAATAAAAAAAAAGAGAAATTGTTAAAAATGCCCATTTTTCAATACCCCTTTTCAAAAATGCCCCATTTGAGAGTCCATTTTTAAGTTTGTCCTCTTTTAATTTTTAATGACCATTTTACCCTTATTTGAAACAAAATTAGGTCCACAAAATACAAAATATTTTTTGGCGGGAAAAGTGATCCCGCAATTTTCCCGCCAAAACACTTGTAAAAACTTTTAAAACACCTTGTAAAATTTTCCTGTAAAAATTTTTCCCGCCAAAAAAAATTTTTTGCGGGAAAAGTGATTCCGCAATTTTTTTTGTGGGAAAAATTTACAAGGTATTTTAAAGGTTTTACGGAGTATTTACAAGTGTTTTGTAAGGTTTTACAATGTATTTTAAAAGGTTTTACAAGGTACTTATAAGGTTTTATAAGGTATTTATAACTTGTAAAACCTTATAAAAAACTTGTAAAACCTTATAACTTGTAAAATCTTATAAAATAGCTTGTAAAATCTTTTAATATCTTATAAATACCTTATAAATACATTGTAAACCTTTTAAAATACATTGTAAAACCTTATAAATACCCTGTAAAAAACATTTAAAATACCTTGTAAATTTTTCTAGCCAAAAATTTACGGGAAAATTTTACAAGGTATTTTAAAGGTTTTACAAGTTTTTACAAGTGTTTTGGCGGGAAAAATTGCGGGATCAATTTTCCCGCCAAAAAATATTTTGTATTTTGTGGACCTAATTTTGTTATATTTCCTTATATATTTGTGATATCTTTTATTAAAAGAATGGTAATTTAGTCATTTTGTACATAAAAAAGAGTATTTTTAAAAATGGACAACCAAAGGGGGCATTTTTGAAAAGGGTTATTAAAAAAAGGGCATTTTTGTGAGTATTCCTTAAAAAAACAATTGAACGAACTTATAAATATACTTTTCTAGTAAAATATGTATCTTCTATATATACACATACGATAGTTTTTATATATATATGTTTAACTTATATATTAAAATAATGATCAAAGATTACATTTACTACATATATATTGTTTATATTTTTTTAAGGAAATATTAATAAGCCATTAACCCACAACGATCACATCAATTCGACTGGGAGACCCTGTGATTTGGAAGATCCTCCATTTTAATTCATGTGTTGTGTTTGAAAGCATATTATAAAACTAAATACAACCAATATGTACTTTTGAAACATATTTAACATTCGTAACAAAAAAAAATTAAAATAAAATATATATACTATTAATAACACGATACATAAAATTAAATAGATTAAAATTCATCTGTGCATTACAGGTACTCTTACCTAGTTAACTTTAAATTCTTGCTTGAATAACACCTAATAGACCAAATTTGTAAGATAGTGACAGACGAGTTTACTAGAGGAATAGAGGCAATACATTATGTGACATGAAGATATCAAACTCATAACCAAAACTTTATACTACTACCATTAATATATAAACAAAAGTTTGGAAGAAAAATACTGTATGAGTTACGGATGTTGTTGAATCTTTATCTCACATAAAACCTAAAACATAAATCTAGTCGATGAAAAACAAACTATGATTCGCCCACACGGTTGTGGTCTAGTGGTAAGAGAGAATTGGGGAAATGTTAGAAGGAACTAACCCATGTTCGATCCACCCTGGAAACAAAAATCACATTTGTGTGGGAAGTCTGGGCTTGGGCTTTGGCCCAAGCAATTCACATGGTATCTGGGATTAGGCTAACTGGATACCCCCGAGCATTAGTCGGAAAACATTCCAAACTCGGGGTTAGACAGTGTGGTAGTAGGTGTTGGCGACGAATCCACATGGTAGCGAAGAAACAGAGAGAAATTAAGCTTGCGGAAGATGAATAAAGCATGACGTTGAAGAAAAGCTCTGATACCATTTCAGATATAACAACCTTTTCATTGTTTTAGAAATTATGCTTCACTAAGTTGTAAATTAACAATGTATGTTGCTTAAATACAGTCACCTAAACCAAGAATACAATTATAAACCAAAGGATAGAGTAAACCGGGACATTAAATCATGATATAATCTAATAGTGCGTTCCCCGGAACTGACCGAATCAGCCGATCGGATATATCAAAAAAAATGATTCGAGCAAAAGTTCTACCGTACCATTTGAAATTTGTTCATCAATTAGACTCCCTGAATTTGTTTATCAAATATAAACAAAAAAATAATAAGAAATTATTTAAGAAAAAATCCACATGGATTCCAATTATCGAGGGGAATCTTTGTAGTGAAATTGACACGTGTTGTCCAATATTCTTGTCCAATATTCTCTTACACTCCTTCGCGCTTCTTACCAAAACAACTAAGGAGGGGTTATTGGTTCATTGATTTATAAGGAATTAGAAATCCAAACAAAAATCATTTGTTATTCAATCATTGAATTTAAAATCCTAATTAAAATAATGTGTTATTGGTTCTATGATTTATAAATACTAATTAAAATCCTATGTTATTCGTTTAGTCATTTGTTTTTGGATTTGAGAATCCAAATTATGTTTTAAATGGATTTGAATGGAAATGAAAGAGAAAAATAGAAGGATTCAAATCCATGGGTAAACACATGTTATTTCAAAATCCATATATCTTGATTTCATAATTAATAGAGATTTTCAAATCCTATATGGATTTACAAATTAATAAACCAATAACACCCTCTAAGATTCTCTAAGATTCTTTTAATCACAAAGATTCTCATTTTCTTCCAAAATAAATCTCTAACTATTACAGTAAAAAAATCAAACAAAATAAGTAACATTAACTTTTCTTCCTTTTACATTTTAACCTAATGAATCGGACTATATAAATGCCTTCTTGCCAAAGATTTCATTACCCAATTCACACAACAAAGACTCAAACTCAAGATTCTCTCTCTCTCTTAATGGCTCTACGCAGAGCAATCACTAAACGTCTCATTGACAGTTACAGATCCGATGTAACACAACAACACTCATTTTTCAGACAACTCTCACCATATAAGATGAAGATCTATCGTCAGTACATGACCTCACCGAATGGTCCGAATCTTACAGACCGGATTGTCGGGATCCACATCGAGTCCGTTGCTCCTCCCAAACGGGAGGAAACGGCCGTGAAGGGTTTATCGGTGAGTGAGACAAAGAAGTTGTTGAGGATATATCAAATGGAGAAGGTGAAAGCGAGACTCAGAGAGATTCCTAAAAGCTCAGTTTCTTATTGGGAATTTGTTCAGATCTGTTGTGAGAGCTGTGGGAACGACGAGCAAGGTTCTGAAATGGCTAACTCTTTGGATCATTCGGGATGCGTCGTCGTTTTAGGAGATATAGTATTTCTTCATCCCCATCAGGTGAATAAATAAGACAAGTACTTGGTTCATGTTTTAAGTAACTTTGGTTCTTAATCTTTTAGTATTCAAGATTTGCTTTTGATCCTTTATTAAAAACATACATAGGTTAGATCTGATACAGAACCATATTGTTTAGCTTGTAAAATTTACTGTTTTTTTAAGCATTTCAAAAGTAATATTGCTTGATTATGGTTTAGTTAAAATTTTGGAAAATTACTATGATTTACTGATTAGAAAAAATATTTTTATTAATCTTTGGTTTTGTGAAAAGTATGGTAGGTTGATAGACTCCCCGAATATCAAATTTAATATCCGAAATGTCTTCAAACATATATCTCATTTTTCTCAAATAATAACCAATATTTTTTTTTTGATTCAAAATAAATTAGTAGATTGTCTCGTTTCATTTACAATTTTGTTTTAGTGTTCTACACGTATGTTTCTTCATATGATGTTAAAAATTTATAAATATAATGTATAATGGGTTTCTTAATATTAGTGGTCCAAAATGAATGTTTCATCATAATCATTTCCGACAAGGCGACAACTTTACATTTTACAAAAGTATTATTCTCTCATTCGTAGATTTTTGCTATTTTATTTTAGATAGCCAAATCTATGGAGGCAATGATCAAGCAAACATCAATACTTCCAAACGATCCAAGGAAAGAAGAGTTAGTTCTGCTTGAGACTACAAAGAAGTGTATTGACATAGAGGCCCAACGCATAGTAAAGGCTGAGTTATATTGCGGTCTCGGTTTCCTAGCTGTGCAAACTATATGTTTTATGCGTCTTACCTTTTGGGAACTAAGCTGGGATGTAATGGAACCCATATGCTTCTTTGTTACATCCATTCATTTCATCCTCGGTTACCTCTTTTTTCTTCGGACATCCACGGAACCATCCTTCGAAGGTCTTTTTCGACAACGGTTTAAGACCAAACAGAAGAAGCTTATGGAGAGGCATGGGTTTGATTTTCTGAGGTACAATGAGCTCAACTCCTTGTTCATACCATTTCCGTGTAAATCTCATTATCCGGTATAGTTCATATAGCTTGTGTTTACTTGAAATTGGGCCTCAACTTGTTGTATGTATATTTGATAAAGTTGGATTCCTAGTTTTTGTTCACCCGGCCCTCATACAACATTCTTGCTTAGTTTAATGGGCTTAAGCCTGTCTTGAAGAAAAGGAACCGTTTAAAAAACGAACGTGAATAAAGAAAAAAAACAAACATGCGAAAGTTGTGTGGTCACAAGCTAACGTCCGTAACTATAGATTTTTCTCAAATCTAATCTGAGTCCGAGTCACATATGCCACTTAGGCCTGGACATTCAGATTTCGGATCGGATTCGGATCGGATATATTCGGATTCGGATAATTCGGATATGAGAGTTTATTATCCGTTCGGATTTTATGACTTTTTGGTTCGGTTTTGGTTCGAATATATTCGGATTCGGATAATTTGGATAGGAGAGTTTATTATCCGTTCGGATTTTATGAGTCATCGGTTCGGTTTCGGTTCGGATAGGTGTCGGATTCGGATCGGTTTTCGGGAAAAAAACTAAAAAAATTGTTCAATTTAAGAAAAAATTGGTTTAATCTTACTAAACTTTGATTAAATTTTGCAAAAATATGTATAATTTTAACAAATATAACTAAAAAATTTCTGAAATCTAGGTTATTTAGGATATTTTTGTTATTTGCTATAAAATTACAACTAAATATAACTAATATTTTTGGATATATAATTTTATTTTCGGTTTTCAGATATCTTTTCGGTTTTCGGTTCTGATCGGATTCGGTTCGGGTAATTCGGATAGGATAATTCATTATCCGTTCGGGTTTTGTGACCATTCGGTTCGGATTCGGTTCCGGATTTTTAGGATCGGTTTCGGATCGGTTTTCGGATTTCGGGTTTTATGCCCAGCCCTATGCCACTATGTGGGAAAATTCAATTTGGCGTGCCATCTTATAATCTGAGTGCCACCATAAATATGATATCTCCAAATTACCCTTAATGAAATTAAGGACGAATTGGTTCATAATAGTACAACTAAGAAAAAATAATACAACTGATACATATGAGAGATTGTAAGATAACTGATCCAAATGGTATAACTGACATATAATAGTACAATTTGTACAACTATATATAAATAGGAACAATTGGTACAAATGGTACTACTGAAACATAATACAGTAGAACCTCTATAAATTAATACTCGATAAATTAATAAATACTATAAATTAATAAAATTATCCGGTCCCAAGTCAGGCTAGTGTAAAATTTGACAAAATTCGATAAGATAATAATATAATAATTTTTTTAGAATCTCTATGTAAATATATGGTCCCATTAATATCTTAAATTAATAATCATGTAAATTTACATATATATATATATATATATAAGTTGTTATACTAAGGTATGCTTTTAGTGTTTTTTCAAAAAAAAATTGAATTTTCGATAGAACCTATGTCTAACTTTTATTGAATAAAACAATAGGTCTATTGTGATTTTAAATTATAGTGGTCTAGTATACTCGATAACTGTATCATAAAATAGTCAAGATTTTCTGCAAGTTTTTAATTTTTGAATATGCATCATTTTTATTTCGATAGTCTTATAAGTGATAGCTGTTAAAATACGACAATTGAGGTCATTAATCATAAATTTGAATTTACGATAGTCTTATAAATTATAGCTGTTAAAATAAATTCTCTTTTAGTCTTTGTAATTTTATTGTCTAATTTTTTTTCGAAATTTTTTTTTTGAAACTATTAAAATTTCAAGTCCAAAACTACAAAACTTATAAATTCATTTCTTTTAAATTTTTTAAGAATTAAAATATATCTCTTTATAAATTGATAAATATTAATTTACACTATAAATTAAAAAATATTAATTTATAGAGAAATTAATATCACTTTAAATTAATAATATATCATAGTCCCAACAATATTAATTTATAGAGGTTTTACTTAATACAATTGAAACAAATAGTACAACTGACATATGAATATAGACAACTAGTACAAATACAATTGATAGAAATGGTATAACTGAGATATAAATAGGTACAACTAGTATAAATGGTAATACTGAAATAATTTGTAATTCTAAACCATAACGCCACCACACTATTTTGTTTCTTCTTGCTTTGTTCACTACCGCCGTCATTATCGCCGATTCTCCGCTGTCACCCATCCTTGTCTTCGTCACTGATTCTCCAACGAAACCCTAGATCTGTCACCCTTCTTTGTCGTCATCGCCGATTCTCCGCTGTTCACTGTCGGCGTCGCCGATTCTACGATGAAACCCTAGATATGTATCGAGATTATCATTGGATCTCTGAAAGAGAGAAGAGATCTAGGGTTTCGTTGAGAAGATCGAAGAGAAGATCGAAAAGAGAGAAGAAAAATCGATGGAAAAAAGAGATTTAGGGTTTCGTTGGATCGAAGGGAGAGAAGAGAAATCCATAGAGAAGAAGAAGAGAGAATAGAAATCCATGAAGAAGAAGAAGAGAGAATAGAAATCCATGAAGAAGAAGAAGACAGATCCATGGAAAAAAAAAAAGAGATCTAGAGAGAAGATAAAAAATTCAGAGAAAAAAAAGAAGAAGAAGAAACGTGAAATAAAAAAGAGACGCAATTGTGTTTTTGTTGTTGAGTTAATGAAGGAGTGGCAATGATACGTAATATTAGCTTTAGGGTAAGCGTTTTTAAACTTTTCTTATTAATTTTGATTTAAAAGAAAATATAAAATAAAATAAAAAACATGAGGGGCATAAACGATTACTTATAAAAATCCAATCTAATAACCCAAAAGGCCAAAACTATAGTTTCATATTCCCTGAATATATCTTCAATCGTTTCAAGAGTTTATTTCGCGAAGTAATTAGGTAATTTTCAAGAAATGGAGATGTGATATGTTATTATGATTTATTGCCATTAGGTACTGGATTTCTTTCCATGAACATGCTATTTCATTTCATATATGTAGACGTTAAATTATCAAATGAATTCCTACAAAACAAAAACCTAAAAAAAAAAAAAAAAAACTTAAACAAAATTCTAATCTTTAACCCCCCCATGTAGTAAATTAGACGGCTGTATAAAAAATGTTACGACAACAAGTCACCGATTCTTAAAAAAATATTTAAATCACCTCATTGTTACTCTATCCGTTTTAAAATATAAATGATTTTAACTAAAAGCACGCAGATTAAAAAATATCCACTTTTAAAAAATTAAAATATAAATAATCATAAAATATTAAATTAATCTATAATTTGCCTAAAAATTTGAAAATGTTTTATATTGTGAAACAAAAACATTCTCTAAAACATCTTATATTATGAAATGGATGGAATATTATTTTTTAATATTATTGAATTCATTTTTTAAATAATACATTTTCCTTGTTAATTAACATTAAAATAAGAAAATCATCCACAAATAACGTGTATCTCACCTTTATCCCACTTCTTAGCAAATCTAGCTATTATTCAGTTGATTTCCTTAAATTATTAATATGTCAAAAAAAGTTGATCCATACTCCTCTTCTATTTGGTAAGGATTTGTAAATTAAGCATTAACAGAAAGAAAAGTGAGACGTCGATATCCATTGATAGCCCAAAAGCTAAGTTGGTGGAACTTTAATCTACCAACTATAATCATAGTGCGAATTCGTTTGTTATTTGGAACACGTAAATAGCTGGAGGCATTACTACAATCTTGACCAAAAACGCAACAAAGCAACCACTTATTGCATTATAATAATCTTGCTGCAACAATGCAGTCATTTTAATATTTACACGATTTCGTTCTTTACATTTTATGCTAAACGATTACATAATAATCATTATCACGTAGGCAAACTATTAAAATTGAAGGGGTGGAATTATTGTCTAGGATCCGATTTAATACGAAAATCATGATATCTAAGGAGCCGGATCTGGATATCAAGATATTAAGGTTTATATATTTCGATTCGGCTCCACATCCGTTAAAAAAAATAAAAAAAGATATTTACAAAACTATGTTTCTACATATATTCTATGATTTTTTTATAAAATAAAAATAATGTAATCTACCAGATTTATTTAACATATTACCTAAAAATAATTTTTCTAAAATTTTAAAAACATTTTTAATATTATTTTTATTTTTAAAAATAATGGTATCTATATCCGTTACACTCCTAAATTATATACTAGACATCTTATTATTTGCAATAACTAATTAATCTTAGAATTATTGAAAAATGTTTTTTTTTTTTGGGTATATAATGTGAAATTTATTAGGGAAATTGTTAAAAATACCCCTTTTGGTGTGTCCCTTTTCAAAAATGCCCCTTTTAGATGTCCATTTTCAAAAATGTTCCTTTTTAAATCTGAAATTTTTATAAAGTTTTATTAGGTTTATAAGGTACTTATGGATTGTAACTACTACTTGAAGACTCGATCCAAGTATTTATAAGGTTTTATAAGGTGTTTTAAAAGGTTTTACAAGTTATTTTAAAGAATTTTTAAGGTTTTTCAAAGGTTTTACAAGATATTTTAAAGGTTTTTAAAGGTATTTAAAATGCATTTATAATGTATTTATAAAGTATTTATAAGATTTTAGATACATAGAAATGTAGTTTGTGTATGTTTTAATAATATTACATACATATTTGGGTAAGTCTTATATTTTTAAGAACATATTTTATAAGGTTTTTTAAAAAGGGTATTTTTGAAAAGTGGCATTGAAAAAGTGGTATTTTTGCAAAAGCCCCTTTATTAATCAAAACAGTTATTTACAATTATGGAAAAATTTGGAAAGGAACCGAGCATGAAAATAAACTTGAAGAATACAATTATTGCAATATTTTATTTTATTTTATAATCTTTTATAGTACTACTCACAGTCTCTCACCTTGATTTTCCATCTGCTAGCTGACCTGGGTCGACATATTTTATAAACTGATACTACAAAATCTTGCAAATTACCCTCTTAAGACACATTCATGTGCATTAGAAACTGATTTGATTTTAACTATCATAGTCCAAAAAATTTCATTATGATTTGTCCGGATTCAACCATCTCATACCAAACTCATCATGTACGATTCAAATCAATAATTT